TACTGCTCTACCCGACAACGCACGTTTTCTCCACATTGTCCCTGTGGTCCTCGGAAGATCATCGCTTGTCCTTCCGAATCCTCTCTCGGTGACTGTCTCCCTTCTCGTGGTTCCACTGGTCCCAAGTCCTCTCCTCTCTTCGTATAAGAAGATTTGCTGGCCTCATATGAGCCTCTTTAATTCATATAAATTTAAATAACATATCATTTTAGAAGAAACACCACAGGTTGCCCGTGGCAATCATGGTTCCGTCTGTTCTTCGTCGTGCCTCTCTCGTGAAGGATAATAACAGTTAAAATCTTTCGTGTTAACAACCTCAACAATAGTCAAGATCTTCCTAAGTACATGATGAGATATCGTAAATCTGTTGAGGAAAATCCTTCACCGTTAAGGAAAATTCACATTTCAAAACATGTATAAATATGAAGTACTGTTACTGAGGTTGTTATTGTGAGAAATTTTGATTGTTATCAAAGGGAAGAAGAAACATAGCTTTGTGAGTACCATGTCATGATTGCCTACTATCGAGGTTACCCAAATGTCACGAGTCTCTTGAGAATAATTTGGGATGGTGATATTAAACTTCAATAATTCATTAAAAATATTAAAATTATATAAATTATCAAATTTTGTACATCAATATTTCTTAGTTTCATAAATTCTAAATCTTTCATTTACCACAACGCCTTTAATTCTGACTCTAAAGCCTCATATTTACTAAACAAAAAGTTCATTATTTTAATATTTCTACCTTCACTCTCTAAATTAAAAATTAAAAATTAAAAATTCAAAATTCAAAATTAAAAATTAAAAATTTAATATTATGTGAATTATAAAATCGATAGTGATGTTGTTAGCATTCACGGAAAGATATGAGAATACTATCCATGCTAGCGATCCATCTTGTAATAAATCAATTAGTTATGAGATCTTGATTTGCTTTCGAATTAATTTTGTCAATTTTTTAAACCATTCATCATTTACGAAATTATCTGACAAAAATAGTTGCTAACATAATAATTATCGATGTGAGTGATCCATCTTATCTGACTTAACCGACTATGATATTTTATTTGTCTCAAATTTACTTTTATTCAAATTTCTTGAATAATTGCTAATCATGAAATTCATTAATTGAAATAATTATTTGTAGAAATTTATGTCGCCTTCATCTTAAAAAAATATTAGATAATTCATTAAAATTTATATTGTTTGGATGTTTTATGGTAGTGCTGTTTATTTTAATATTGATATAATCTTCTTAGCTTTTAATTTCTAATATTTTATTTGGGTTTGTAGATTTTTCTCTTTTAGATGTTTTCTTCTAGATCATCCCTTGTAAGATTAAGTTTCTATAAAACTAAATCGATGATATTTTCGACTATAGCCCCTTCGACAATCAAGACAGTGCTTTAAGCTTTGTAATGATCAGACTAGTTACTAGTAGGAGTTCAATTCAAGTCGGTTCTTTAAGTTTATGCTTATCGTTCTCAACCCCTCTAAATTAGTTGAATGGCTCTTTTTGATGTGTGGGCCAAACTGAACATAATGTAAAGATTTTATTTTAGAGGAATAGAAAAAAATTTAATCCATAAAAATGTATATATTAAAGTATAATTACATTGAAGATTAATATGCTCTTAAGGATAGTACTTTCTCCGCTACATGATCCAAGTCTCGGAGATGTCCAACCCCTCGAGGGTTTACAAATGATAAATTCTCAAACGAACCTCCTCAACAACCTTATAAGGCCCTTCTCAATTGGGTGCTAATTTTTCATATGAATAGGTTGGATCACTTATCTTGGCCTTATGAAAGACTTGATCTCTTACATTGAGATGCTAAGACCGAAACTTTTAGTTGAAGGCCTTTGTCACTGTTCTTTTATAAACTAAGTTTCGAAGATGTGCTATCACCCTAACTTTATCAAATAGATCCAAGTTAACTCGAAGCCCCTCGTCCAATGCTTTTTGAGTCATATTTTTATGTTCGGATATCAGTAGAATAATTTCAACTAGAGCCATTACTTTTGCATTGAATGTAAGGAAAAATAAAGATTTTCCAGTCAGAACTCTTGGAGTAGTCCGATAGCTCCATAGGATACTTAGGTGTTCATCAACATGGTTTCTTTAACTTTTAATATCATTTTTTTTATCCTTCAAGAATGGTTCGATTGGTAACTTTAGCATATTTGTTAGTTAGGGGGTATGCTATCGAGCTAAAATAGAGATAGATTCCAAATGATTCATAGAAGTCTCTAAACTTAAAGTTGTTAAATTGGATCTTGTTGTCGGTGATGATGACTCTTGGAATACCAAATTTGATGATAATATTCTTCCAAACAAAGTTTTCCACTTATTTTTTAATAGATCGAAGCTAATGGTTTGGCTTCAACCCATCTAGTAAAGTAGTCCACACCAACCAATATAAATTTGCATTGTCCCAATGCCGATGGGAAATGATCTCAGATATCAAGTCCCCATTGTGCAAATAGCTAGGCTACATCTAAAGGGAACAATTCTACAATTGGGAACCTTTGAACATAAGCATTGCATTGACATCTATCACATCACTGTACATATTTTATCGCATCTTGGCGAAATGTGGGCTAATAGTAACCTTACCTAAGGATCTTGAACACCAACGTGTTCCCCACATATTCCTTCATGGATTTCAAATAAGGCTCGAGTAGCCTCTTCGGGGTGTAGATAGCAGAAAAGAAGTTGGGTGAGAGAAATATGATGCGATATATTGTTTATAATACAAAACCAAGGTGACTACCTTCGAACTCTCCTAGCTTGCTTGAGATCTGCTAGCAAATCTCCGATTATTAGATATCGCAGTATTCCGCCCATCCAGGTGGGATCAAGGGAAGTTGTTGCAATCCCTTCTTTATGGATACTTCTTTTGACTTTGCTTATGAAATGCAACTCTCTTGGTAGATGGTGGAGCTCCTAAGCCAACTTCGATAAAGCATTAGCCACTATATTGTGCACCCGAAAACTTTGCTCAATACTAAAAAAGGGTAATGTCAGCGGTCACTCGCTTTGCCTCCATGAGATAGAGAGTCATCACTGGAACTTTAGCTTCATAGATTCCTTTATCTTAATTGACTATTAACTATGAATCACTATATATCTTCAACTTTCTTATCAGCATTTCTTTGCTAATGTGAAGTCCCAACATAAGAGCCTTATATTTAGCTTCATTATTGGTTACTTCAAACTCAAAGCGAAGGGAGTGCTCATATTCTTTTTGCTTCCTGGAGGATGAGCCCAATACCTCCTTCGGCTGTAACTGACCCATTGACATCTAAGATCCAAGGTGAAAAGTCAAAGGATGTGGTCTTTTGTGGTCGTTAACTCCATGACGAACGAGTAGGACTTGGCATTGATGGTAGTGTGTGATTGATAGGAAAAGAATGACAATCATAAATCACGATTTGATTGGTTAGTTGCTAAATTGTCTTAATAGATGATGGTGCTTCATATCCGAGATGGTTTGCACTTTCTCTAAATTTATATCAATTCTGATTTGATGGATTATGAAACCTAAAAATTTTTCAGAGCCAACCTTGAAAGCACACTTAGTTGGGTTGGGTCACATTCGAAACTTCTTAAGAGTCTTTCAACTAGATCTATGAGAAGCATGTCAAATGTCTTACTTTTGCCCCCACTAAAGGCTCTTCAAATGCATTTTAGCATAATAACATGACATGAAAACAAAGTAATATTCTAATTATTATCTTATTTGTAGTTGCTTGTTGAGTTCAAAAAGACGTTATGCATTAATTGATTTAAAAACTCGATCAAGAAAACAACACATTTCGAAAATATAATTAACCGAGTGTTGAATGTGAGTAAGAGTTTTAAGTAAAGTGAATAAAAATAAGTAAGAAAGATAAAAACTCATAAGTAAAAGAAAGAATTCAAATCGATTTATAGTGGTTTGATCTTTCCAACCTACATCCACTCATAATTTCTCTTCCCTCGATACCATCAACATTAATTACTGACATTATTTCTATCAGATGAAGATAAGCAACATTTACAATATTTTTTTCATTTTGGGTTTAGAAAAGAACATTCATACTCACTATTTTATATTAGACTTCTCATATCTAATACTTTATATCATAACTACGCTCAAAAGAGTGGAGAAGACTCAAACAAAACTCAAAAAGAGAATTATAATATTTCATAACCTCAGGAATAGATGCACCATCAACAAAGTCTGAACAGAGTATTTATAGTCTCCATAATATTTCAAAAATATGATTAAAAATTTAAATATCTAAAATTTTGAAATAGAAGCAGTACTAACATTGATATAAAGTGATATTACTATCTTAACTTTGATGTCATAATTCCATCATCGTCTTAGGTGGTATTACCATAGTCATTACTACTATCAAAAATATTAATAAAATATTATTTATTAATTTTTTATCTTCTGACATATCAATTTCGTCATCTTTTAATATGATATCCAATCCTTATTCCATAAAGTTTATTCTTTCACACATTTGACAAATCCTCATTTTCAATTTCGACAAAATAGCCTTTCGACATAATTTTCGACTCTTACTTTTAATTATTATATTATATATTTTTATATTATTTGAATATTATATATATAATATCCAAATAATATTCAAAAATATATAATATAATAAGTAAAGAATTCTCCTCCTCGCCACGACTCCGCAGTCACTGTGATCCTTATCGATATCTCCGCATTCGCCGTAGAACATATTTATTTATTTATGGAAACGAGGTATTCTTCGATAAATTCTCCCGTGCGATCTGAAAATTTTATCTTATCCAATAGAAGTCTTGTAGGCTGGATTGCGGAGATTCCTGTGCGAGGCTCCGTATATAAATATATTAATGCTTGTCTGCGTCCTTATCGAGGAAGCTGACGTAAGTGCTGCTGTAATTGCGATTCTTATAGCAAAAGCGATGGAGCTGCCAAGCTTGTCGGTAGAAATTATGCTTGTTATTTCTCTGATCGTCAATGGATATGGCAGCGAAGCCACTAGATTAATTGCACATGGACGTCATCGGGTTGAGTTACTCGGACGATCTGAATCCAAATACGATGAACTTATAATTTTGATGACCTGTCAATGAATAAAGAAAAGGAAAAAGGAAAAACAAAACAAAAGAGTGGACATGATTGACTGCCACATCCAAAGCTAGTACATGACCTCCACCATGGCTCGCCCAACAGCGCACTCTGAACACTGATCCTTGCAACAATGGAGGACGGCGAGCGCCAACACGTGGTTCTCTTCCCCTTCATGGCCCAGGGTCACATCACTCCCTTCGTCGCCCTCGCCGAGCTCCTCCGCCGCCGTTGTCCCACTCTCATCGTCACTCTGGTCAGCACCCCTCTCAACATACAAAAGATTAAAAGTTCGTCCTGCCCTCCCTCCCTCTCTTCGATTCGACTTCGCTCCATTCCTTTCTCCCCCGCCGCCCACGGACTCCCCCCTGAAGCTGAGACCACCGGGGCCATCCCCTTCCACCAGATCGTCACTCTCCTCCATGCCTCCCGGTCCCTCCAGCCCGCTTTCGAGCAGCTCATCGAAGACATAACGCAGGAAGACGGCCGTCCGCCTCTCTGCATCATCGCTGATAACTTCTTTGCATGGAGCGTCCACGTTGCGCGCCGTTTCGGAGCTTTTCATTCCATATTTTTCACCAGCGGAGCTTATGGCACGACCGTTGACTCCTCGCTGTGGACTCACCTACCCCACAGAAAGACAAATTCCGACGAGTTCCCGCTACCTGAGTTCCCCGATACCATCATCCACCGCTCGCAGCTCCCGAAGCACCTGCTCATGGCCGACGGCACCGATCCTTGGTCGGACTTCCTTCAGGGACAGATATCTCTCTCGTCGGAAACCGACGCCGTGATCATCAACACCGTCGAAGAGGTGGAGAAGACTGGGTTGCGGATGCTTCGCAAAGTGCTTCCGTGTCCCGTTTGGCCCGTCGGTCCAGTGCTCTCTTCCCCTTCTTCAGCCAGCGCTGGTAACGATCACATCATGAAATGGTTGGATTCTCAACCGCCGGCATCCGTGTTGTACATCTCATTCGGCTCGCAGAACACCATCGCCGCGCCGCAGATGAAGGAGCTGGCGATGGGGCTGGAGGCGAGCAGGACCCGGTTCTTGTGGGTCATCAGGCCTCCTGTGGGGTTCGATGTCAAGGGGGAGTTCAAGGCGGAGTGGCTGCCGGAGAAGTTCGAGGAGCGGATGAGAGACGAAGGGACAGGGGTGTTGGTGCACGGGTGGGCACCGCAGCTGGAGATCTTGTCGCACGCGTCGACGGGCGGGTTCCTGAGCCACTGCGGGTGGAACTCGGTGCTGGAGAGCTTGAGCCGAGGCGTGCCGATCGTCGCGTGGCCCCTATCGGGGGATCAGCTGTACAACGCGAAGATCATGGAGGAGGAGCTGGGGGTATGCGTGGAGGTAGCGAGGGGGAACATGGAGAGCTCCAAGGCGGACAGGGTGGTGGTGGAGAAGGTGGTAAAAGAGGTGATGCACGGAGGACAAAGGGGGAAGGAGATAAGGAGGAGGGTGGAGGAAGTAAGGGGGCTGATGAAAGAGGCATGGAGGGACGGACCCGGGTCGTCGGTGAAGGGGTTGAGCGAGTTCTTCCGAGCTGCGGCTTCCATGAGAGGTGCGGGGCTGAAGATGTGACGCCTACATTTGCGGTACCAAGTGGACTCCGTGACACGTGGTGCTTTAGTTGACGTCGTCTTACAAGAATACCCAACAAGCAGAAGCGACAGGAAACCACCATCCCGATGGATGCCATCTGGCTTTTGTCTCTTCTGCATAGCATTTCATTGCGCATTATTGCAAGAGTCGTTGTGGCGTGTTTTTCTACAGCAGCTGGTCGTAACTGATCTTTGGAATTTTGACCATTCATTGCCTGCAACTCAACCTACGCCGCTACGGAAAAGCTTTGGTTCTCTTCTTCTATTGAAAGCACGCGATGGCGTCATTTGTCGGTATCTTGTTTTCTGACGTCGCAGGAGGAGACGATAGAGCTTGATATAGATGGATTCACTTGCGTGGATCCGGTCATATTTCTTCGTTCTAAAGTCACTTAAGTGATTATTAGAAGAAAGTTACTTTTAAATTTAGATGCCCTCTAATAGATTTGCTCGGACCAGTAATTATGAACTAGCAGTCAGCCAATTAATGATCTATCTTGTTTGCGTATTTTTATCAAATAAAATATTATTTATTTTTAATCTGATGATGCCTCTCTAATTTGTTTTTATCGGAGAATTTTCTTCTAACAATAAAAATAACCTATCAACCAACCCAACTTTTAAACCCGTTCAATTAAACATGCCACATCTCATTCCTCCTCCTTCGTTACCTTCCCCTCGACCTCTTTCTTGTCCTTTTCATCTACCTCCTTCCTCCTCATTATCTTCTTCGCTTTTGCCTCCACCCCTATATCACCCATCTTTTTCTTCCTTCGTCTCATCTCATTCCTTCTCCTCCTCTTTCACCTTCTTCACTTCCATCTCAATCATTTTTCACCCCCTCTCCTTCGTTGTCTCATTCTTCCCTTTTACCTCCACCTCCTCCTTATTATTTGCCTCTATCTTCTCCCTTCCACCGTCTCTTCTCTTCCTTGGCTTCCTCCCTATACTACTTCTTCTCCTCCTATTTTGCTTTCCTCTTCTTGTTTTTCTTCTTATCTCATTCTCCTTTTTTTTTTTTCTTCTCCTACCCAACGAGTTTTGTTTGTGAAATTCTTATATTTTTAGGATCTAACTGTAAATATTAAACTGTTAGAGATTAATTATAAAAAGCATAAAATTAAGGTTTCCGTGCCGCCGCCTCTCTCACAAGTAAAAGAGAGGCTGCGTGGGAGTGAGGGAGGGAGAAACATGAAAGCTAAAAGAATAGAGAAGAAAGAAAGAAATGGAAGAGAAAAAAAGAGAGGAAAGTGAGAGAGGATCTCGTGGGAAGAAAGGAGAGGAAGAAAGAAAAGAAAAGAAGAAGAGAAGAATGAGAGGAAAGAAGAAGAGGAGAAGAAAAACGAAAGGAGAAAGAAAGAGAAGAATAAGAGGAAAAAAATTTGGGAAAATATGTTGAGGACATAGTTTGATATGATATGAAATTAAATCATGTCAAAAAAAATTACATTAGGTATATTTTTGAATTCCCTTGTCTACCTACTGATTAGATAAGTGTATAGATCTATAAATTAATTGATTTTGATATTCTTAGATTATTTGATATTTATGCTAAGAAGAGAATAGAAGATTATAAAATTGATCATTTTAGAAGAAAAAAAATCCAAAGAATTTTTTTTTTGATGATTTTAAGGTCATTAATATAAAAAATAAGAAACTTTCAAGTTGTGATCGAGTGTAACGTAGTTCAAAAAAAATATAAAACCTATTCAAACTCCTACAAAAGTTTTAGCATATATTGGTAAGATAATTAATAGGATGTTTTGTAGTTTTTGAGAATTTTAGTGTCATTAATATAAAAAATGGGGAATATTTTGAAACACATAATTTAGTTCAAAAACGAGGGTAACTCAGTGAACTTTCACATAAACAATCCAAACTATTCTAGAACTACTCGGATATAATTCTAAGATTTTTAGGAGTACTTTTCTTTTTAATTTTAAAGTGATTAATTATCAAAATAGGATATTTTTGTTTGAAACTTTGAATAGTATAACTTAAATAAAAACTTAGTATAACTTGGTGAACTTTCACCAAACTAGTTTAAACTTCTTTGAAACTATTAGGATATGATTCTAAGATAATTAGTAGTATTTTTCTATTTTTTTTGAGAATTTTATAGTGATTAATTATCAAAATTATATATTTTTTATGTTGAATCCGTGAAGGAGAGTGTAACTTAGTTTAAAAACAAGTGTAACTTAGTGAACTTCCACCAAACCATTCCAAACTTCTTTCGAACTATTAGAAATATTTATTTATTTTTAAAGATTTTAGAATGATTAATTATCAAAATTTGATATTTTTTTAGTTAAATATGTGAACGAGTGTAACTTAGTTTTAAAACGAGCGTAACTTAGTAAACTTTCATCAAGCCAATTTGATTTTCTCTAGTACCATTAAGACATAATTCTATGGTGAAATAGTATTTTTCTTATTTTTTAAGAATTTTGAAGTGATTAATTATCAAAATTAGATATATTTTCGATCATATATGTGAACAAGAATAACTTGGTGAACTTTCAGTAAATCAATCTAAACTTCTTTGAAACTACTAGAATAGGATTTAAAGATGATTAGTAGTATTTTTTTTCTACTTTTGAGGATTTTAGGAGTGATTAATCATCAAAATCAGATATTTTTTAGGTTGAATCTATAAACAAGTGTAACTTAAATAAAAAACGAGTATATCTCGGTGAATACTAAACTAATCCAAACTTCTCCAAAACTATTAAGGGCATGACTCTAAGATGATCAGTAACATTTTTTTAGTTTTTTGAGAATTTTAGAATGATTAATCATGAAAATTAAGTATTTTTTAAATTGAATGTGTGAAGGAATGCAACTTAGTTTAAAAATGAGTATAACTCAGTAAACTTTCATCACATTAATCTAAATTGAGAAATTTCATCGTACCAATCCAAACTTCTCCGAAACTACTAGAATATTATTCTAAGATGATTAACAGTTTTCTTTTGGAATTTTAGAATGATTTATTTGTTGAATCTCGTATTTTGATGATCAAACTACTTGATATATATTTATGATTTAATCTGCGTTTTGAGTGATGCAGGATGCTTCGATCTGGATGAGACAATTAAAGCAGGAAAATCATGTTGTGCCGGAAGAACATGTCAGAAGATTGGACGTCGGGCCGGTGGAACGGTCGACGTATCGACAGAAGGCTTCGGGCTGTGGACTCGGGCATCGGGCCAAGAAGAGCGGGTATTGTGCCAAGGATATCGGAGTTGCGGAGTCAACTGACCGATTGGGCAATAGGCTGCAGGAAAGGACGATGCGCCGAAGAATCGGACGAAGCGTCGAGGGACCAATGACATGCCAGATAACTTGGTTAATTGCTTAGGATTAATTGTCTCGATCGAAGTTTTTATTTTGAGTGTGCAGGATTAACTACGATGGAAGAAAGACATGCAGTAGGAGTTGCGCCGGAGTCATGACAATGATCACGTTGGGAGTTCAAGAGCTCGACGGAAGTTTGGACAGTCGTCGGAGGTTCTGCGGGAACAAATCCGAGAAGTCCAGAAGCTTGCCAGAGGAGCTCGTCGGAATTTGCCAAGTGGATCGTCGCAAGTCCAGGAGTTTGCCGGAAGTCCGCAGGAGGATCACCGAGGGTTCGTCGGATGATCGACGGAAGTTCGCCGGAAGAAACGATTGACGCACCGGAGCAAGCTGCAGAATATGTCTTAGGAAATAATCGTAGTTAGCACATTGATTAAGTTAGAAATGGGAGGTGATCCCATGAGCTTAATCTTAGGGCAATTGGGCCCCTGAACGAATCAAATTGGGCCGAATGGATTAACCCATTCGGACCCTGATTGCTGTGGGAGGTGCAACCGCCCAAGCCAAGAGGTAGCACCGCCCAGGCTATGTCTCCCAGCGAGACTGGGCGGTGCAACCGCCCTAGCCAAGAGGTGGCACCGCCCGGGGCCCAGTCTCCGAGCGAGACTGGGCAGTGCAACCTCTTCTGTCAAGAGGTAGCACCGCCAGAGCTCAAGTTTCGAGCTCTGCTAGACGGTGCAACCTCCCCAGTCAGGCGGTGCAACCGCCTGAGCTCGGTCTTCGAGCTCTGGCAGAGAGGTGCAACCGCCCCTGACAGAGGTGGCACCGCCCAGAGGCTCAGTCTTCGAGCTCTGCCAGGCAGTGCAACCGCCCCAGTCAGGAGGTGCAACCGCCTGATCCCGAAATTCCGGGAATTGACAGATTTGAGCTCCAAATTTGAACTGGGTTTGGGCCTATAAATACCCCACCCATTCAGCACTGAAAGCACAAAACACACACTCAAAATCTTGCTGTCTTTCTGTGTTTCTTAGAGCTCAAAACTGATAGTTCTCCTCTTTATGTTCTTCAAAGTTTGAGTTGTAAAGAGAGGAGAGAAAACTTCTGTAAGGGTTGTCTCCTAAGCTCGTCAAAAGGAGTGAATCTGTAAGAGGGTGGTTGGCCTTCGCCTATTGAAGGAAGGCCTCTAGTTGACGTCGGTGACCTCGTCGGTGGAGAAAGCCAAAAGTGGAGTAGGTCAAGATTGACCGAACCACTCTAAAATCTCGGTTTGCATTTCCTTTGAGCATTTTACCTTCACTGCAAACTTCTCAATAGCTTACTGCCCTCTGCGATTTTACGAACGAGTTTCAAGGTTCAGACGTAAATCTGCGTTTAGACGTAAATCTGCGTTTAGACGTAAATCGGCTTTTCTCGTACGATCATCATATTTCAGTTTACGTTTACGTTTTGATTTCAATCATAACTGTTTACTGCCTTCTGCGATCTTACGAATAAGTTTCTAAGTTCAGAATTTTCTGAATCTGCGTTTAGACGTAAATCGGCTTTTCTCATACGATCATCATATTTCAGTTTACGTTTTGATTTCAATCATAACTGCTTACTGCCTTCTGCGATCTTACGAACAAGTTTCTAAGTTCAGAACTTTCTAAATCTGCACTTAGACGTAAATCATTTTTTATCAAACGAACGTAGCTTTCGTTTTAATCGCTGAAAAATTTCCGCTGCACTAATTCACCCCCCCCCCCCTCTCTTAGTGCTCTCGATCCTAACATTATTATCAAAATTAGGTATTTTTTAGGTTAAATCTTTGAACGACCATAACTTAGTTCAAAAATGAGTATAACTCTATAAACTTTCATCCAACTTATCCAAACTTCAATATAACTAGTATGACAAGATTTTAAGACGATTAGTGTTACTGTTTTTTTTTTTAGTATTTTAGGATGATTAATATAATTTGGCACGATGTGGTAGGATTGTAAGATAACTCAACTAGAACATGATTTAACTCAACTAAATCCACTTTCATAACAAGGTTTAGTTAAAAAACGAGTATAACTTAGTTAAAAAATAAAATATATCAAAACTTTCACAAAACTAATAGGATATGATTGTAAGATAATTAGTACTATTTTTATTTTTTGAGGACTTTATGATGGCTAAATATCAAAGTTAGAGAATTTTTTAAAAGATGTTATGATCGAGTGTAACTTAGTCCAAAATGAGTGTAACTCGATGAATTTATATGAAACCTATCCAAACTTCCATATAACTATTAGAACACGATTTTAAGATGACTAGGAATATTTTTTTTTCTATTTTTTTAGTATTTTAGGATAATTAATAGAATTTTATATGTTGTGGTAAAATTGCAAGATACTACCCCAATGATACCTTAACTAAATTATGATTCTTACTTAACCAAAATCTACCTTGAGAACTCAACTAAAGCATAATTATAATAAGGATTATAAGATCGATTGCACATTGATAACTTTATATTCAAAATTAACAATAGTTTACAATGTTAATGTTTCGTGACACATTTGCCAAAAACTTATATATATATATATATATTATTTATAAAAAGACCACCTCCTATACTCAATATAGATAATAAAAAACTATAATAAAAATTAGGTTATATAAAAAACTGAAGATTCAACATTGCTTTACAATTGATAATATTGAGTTAGACAACCATTGAAAATTGCATGAGTATCAATTGTGACTTAATTGTTTAACACTTTATACTTCAAGAGATTTCGAATGTTCGCCTTTGTAAAACCACTCGATTCTTATTTGAAATCAAGCTTCATATGACTAATTATTCAAATTCTAATCAATGCGACACAACTATGATCGCCAATACAGTGGTAAAGCTTTCCATGAGTGCTTCATGATTGTGGTGGTAAATGTAGTAACAATGCAACCTTGCAAGTCATGAATATAGTGAAGAATTTGCTAATGCAGTCGACGCTGTTAAGGTTTCAATGATGCATTAGTGACATCTTTCTCTAATATTTTTTTGGTGACACAACAACAATACCCACGAAACGAAGGAGGGGAATGAGGTGAAGAAGGAGAAGCATGAACGAGATGAGGCAGAGGGAAGGGTTGATCCATGATTCAGACTACAGTAGAATAACTTTTATAGTGTGACATTATGGCTCGTCCTTGTGACTCATCAACATCGTTACATTGAGATGCGCATGTGGCATGTCTCAGTCCAACACGGCAAACAAAGAGATGGCATGCCACGGTCAATCCCCGTCTTTGGCTTCACGTCGCGTCCCACTTATGCCTCAGTAGTGGGTTCGATTGCCTATAAAAGTACCATCACTCAATCATATTAGTCATGACGACGTAGAAGTAGAATCATATTAAAACTATCGACAAAGTACAAGTCCTTCGTATAGCTTTATCTCAGACTCAATTTAATTGAAGTCACGATCGGTAGCCAACTTCGTCACATCAAATCAGCCAACCGTTCGGGGCGAGAATTCATAGCACACGCAGATATATATATACGCACACTACCACAAAGGCCTTACTACCATCACAAGAAAACCATAGTCCTCTCTAATGGCTGCTGGTTCGCTTCCTTCACTGGTCATCGTTCTGCTACTGTCAACTGTTGTTCTTAGCTACGTCCAGTCGTGCAGCCACAGCGGGTATTTGACCGGCACCACAAGCAAATGCAACGAAGAAAAAGGCGCGGAGTGCTGCAAGGCTGGCAAGAAGTACCGCCAGTATCGCTGCTCGCCGCCGGTCACCGCAGCCACGAAGGCACACATGACCATCTACGACTTCTCCGAAGGCGGCGACAGCGCCGCTCCTTCGAAGTGCGACGGTGAGTACCATTCCGATCACGAGATGGTCGTCGCTCTGTCCACCGGCTGGTACGAAGACGGCAGCAGGTGTGGCAACACCGTCAGGATCGACGCCAATGGCAGATCTGTGCTGGCCAAAGTTGTCGGCGAGTGCGACTCGGTGAACGGCTGCGACGAAGAGCACAACTTCCAGCCACCCTGCAGGAACAACATCGTCGATGCGTCTCGAGCAGTGTGGAAGGCGTTGGGCTTCTACAAGTCGCACAATGGTGACTACGACATTACTTGGTCAGATGCATGATCCCGGAGAGCTTCAAGCTCTGCTATATCTATCTATCTATCTCAATAACATCTCGATCCATGGGCAACGCCCAGCACCCTGCAGTCCATGTAGCTCGAGAAAGCCGTCCCCGGTAACTGCTAGCCTAAATAGATGGAATACTGCGTTACTCTATGCACCAACTTCAGCATTGTATCCTCGAAGATGCCGAGTCATAAAAGATGAGGCCAAATCTCCTAAATTTCTGCCGAATCATAATATATATCTATCTAATATCGGTACTGTCCAAGAGTGCCTTTCTTTTCACTACGGTTTGCAAGAACTTTTCATGGAAATACTCAACATGATGTTTAGAGAAGTGAACATCTAGGAAGAGGAAGAAAAAAGAAGATACACTGATAGAATGGTAAGATGATAGAGAACTCGTGTCCTCTAGCAACAGTAGATTAGTTGACTGCTAACGAGTAGGGCAGTAATAGATGGCTCTTCGAGATGTCACCAACACTCGTACCCATGAATGCTATGAAGGAACGCGTTTGTATCGAGCATCCATCGACCAGGCTGGAGTCTGTGCATCATCGCGAGTGCATAACGTCATCATCTAAGCAAAGTAATCACCGATTACTGTGGTTCTCTGGTGAGCCTATTTGCAGTTGATCTCCACTCGGTGGAAGACAATTGTAAGGAGAAAAGCATGTGATTCTCATTAAGTGGGTGATTCATTAGAATAATAGCAATAGATGTGATTCTCTCTGATACGCAATGCTCGCGAATATTTGATAGTTGAATGAATGTTCATAAAGAATGTGATGGACATTGGCGATGAGGTTACCGTCCTCCAAAGCCTGAATATAATTGAATGACACTTGCAAGCATATGATAGATGGTGACCCTCCATGATTACTACTACACTTGTAAGGTCACTAAAGATGGCTGATATGATGCATCAACCTCTTAAAAAGGTGTTTTCGAAGTAGAAAAGCATTAATAATTAGATGATTTCTTATTGATAGGAAGCTCATAGAACTCCCTATCCTACTAAAATAGTAGACACAAGGGGCCAATTTGCTTCCATCCTGATAGTGGTATGTGGAGCATTCTCATATACATTAAAGAGAATTGTGGTATGAAAGTGAGAAAAGCCTCATCGTATGTGTCATGTCAGGCACATTCCTGTTCCATTGAGAGAGAGGGTTCTGTGCAGTTTTGCTGATCTGTGTTACACTAGTCTACAATCCGAGCAACGCAAGAAAGGAGGGAGGGAATTCAGCAGGAGACATTTCATCAGATCTGAGAGATGCATCGTCTATGGCAGGCGACGGGTCTCTTGGCCGGCTTCAGCTCCTCCTTCCACATCCTGCCGATGTCCTTGGCAGTCCTCACTGCGTCTGAGGAAGCACCAGAGAGGCCCCTCCTTGTGAAACCCACAGCGTAAAGCCCGGACTGTCCTTTCCACCCGTTCGGGAATGTAGTCTTCGGAAACCCATCTTTGGAGAAGAATTCACATCCCTGCAAAACCAAACAAGCGTGGGTCAATCTTCCATTCTTCCCTTTTTGTGCAGAGATTTTAGTTTAAGCCTTAATCTTTCTATTCTAGACCACTTTCTCGGATGTCATTTTCATTGTTTGTACTGAAGAAGCTGTGGTTTGGATAGTTCGCGAACAGTAGCAGTGTCTCATCAGCATTCTTTTCTCTCTCAACTTCACTGGAATCAACCTATATAAAGCTCTAATTCATGTTACTGGCGATCAACTAACTTGTGTGTAATAATCTTTGTTGGTACCTGAAGCCACTGAGGGACGTTGCTTCGGTAACCTGTAGCCAAGACGACAGAGTCAATGTCGAGGACCTGGCCGTCGACGAGCGCGACTTTTCCGGGGGAGAACCTCTTGATCCCAGGAACAACCTTGATGTCGCCAGATCTTATCTTTCCAAGAGCCCCTGTGTCGAGAACAGGGGTCCTCCCCTCTGTGTTCTTGAGCGCCAGAGGACCGGTGGAAGGTCTCCTCAGGCCACACCTCTCTATGTTCCCAAGCGCCAGCCACGCCAACACTAGTAGGATCTTGTCCACCAGCCACAGCGGCAACCACTTCATCAGCAGGACAGCCAACTCGAACGTCGATTTCCCGAGTACCTCCCTCGGCAGTACGTGAACCTGTAATCAAGTTTCATAAAGTAACTCCATTAAGGGCAATGTTAATGGCAGAGATATGTTCGGAGTGATGGCTTTCGAGCAGTGATTGCTCACCGAGTCGCGAACCACCATAGCTGGAAAGGCATCGTAGTCGCAGAGATCGAGACAGACCTCCATGCCGGAGTTGCCACAGCCGACCACCAACACGCGCTTCCCGCGGTAGGCCTCACCGGACTTGTAGTCACAAACATGCATCACATCACCGCCGAACTCCCTGAGCCCGTCCAGCTCGGGGACTACACTCTCCGCGTTCTCGCCGGTGGCCACCACCAGCCACCTGCCGATGTACTCCACCTCCTGGCTCCGGCATCCAGCCGCGGTGCCAGTTCCTGTGGTCCTCACCCGCCACAGGCCGCACGTTTCATCGTACCTCGCTAACTGCACCGACTGGTTGAACCGTGGGCTGATCTCCAAGTGCTTAGCGTACGACTCCAAGTAGTCGATGAACTGCTGCTTGGTAGGATACTCGGGGTAATGCTCCGGGAAGGGGAACCTGGGCAGCTGGCAGAACTGCTTGGGGAGGTGAAGCTTCAAGCGGTCGTAGGTACGCTTTTGCCAGAGCGAGGCAATGCAGTCGGACCGCTCGAGGATCACCGACGGTACGCCGTGCTCCTTCAAGCACGCTGCCACGGCCAGGCCGGACGGGCCAGCTCCGACAATGATCGGACCGTTCACCCACACACACCTCCGGGAGAAGAACCCGAATTGATCAGCCATGCTGGACATTGTACAGTAGCAGGAAACAGGGCAGAGCTAGAGAAGATTAGTTCGAGCACAAGAGACTTTAGCCAGTAGGAATTTTGGCTTCGGAAGATAGGAAATGAAGATGGCGAAGAATTGGGATAGCGAAAGGGAACTAGAAGAGAGACTTGCGCTGAAGAGGATGATGCTTAACAGGAAGGGGAGGTGTTTATATAGGGGGTGCTACCACATTACTCATCCGAGCTGCATGTTCCTGCAGTATAGAGAAACAGGTATCGTTTAGGTCCTCGAATGATAATTTGCCGCCTCTGCTCTTTGTTTAAAGTTCATAGACTAGTTTACTCTTTAAAAGACAACAAAGACAAGGTCTCCCATGGATATATTTCTGGGAGGAGTTGATCGCGATATCTATCTAAGTTTGTGTCAGATACGTTGGCTGCTTGGAACCACCCATAGATAATGCTAAGACCGCCGTTTCATAGTATCAAACAAGAAGATGTAGGTTGGTATACAGAAAGCTAAGTTAAAATCTCAAACAGGGGAGGATTCATCTTAAGCACTTGTTCGATCAATCATTTTCAGATGGATGTCGCTTAACTATTAGCCACTGTTTTCTGCTGCTGCTTTTGCTTTTAGTTGATGGGGATCGATAGGGGTTATCGTTTTGACATCTTACTGCATTAATGTCGATCGATAGATCTGTCAGAAAAAATTTCCTCCATCAATTGTTCCTCGCAAGAGCCACAAACTCCTTCGTCATCGTCAACAAGTGGTTGAGATCATTACTGTTGTCATAATAGCGGTGCCCTGTTTCTGCAAGGCCTCGCGTAAGAGCTTTCGGAGCCTGATGGCTATCTTCTTCCTATGGAAGAACGATGTCTTCTACATGATTAAGGCGACATAACATGAATGGATGGATTTGCTCGTCTTTTATTTCTAGTCTTCCATAAAGTCCTCCACTGCCGATGGAAACCTGACTGCTTTCACAACATTAAATACAAAAGTTTGGATCCACTATTCGATGGTCCGTTCATCTATCAATCAAACTAAATAAATAGCAAGAAAAAGAACTGAAAATGACGTGGCGAACATCGACGGGAGCGCGGCCTCCTCGTCCCTACCGAGCCCTTAGTCATAATAAGCCGCTACCTTGTGGGTCCCACCGTCGGGAAAAAGAATCTGAGTGCGGTGGGGGACCCAGACGGCACTCGCCTTCTTCCCACGTGGTTTTACGGAGTCGGCGCCTTCCCCACCACCACGTTAATACCCTCGTTGGCCAACGCGCCATTAAACTACGTGTTCATGGTGCACAAATCCTGTCCGTCTCAAAGAAAGAAAAGATCCTTGATTCCAAGTTGCAGATTACAGGGTCAAAGACACCCACTGGGTGTCATCATACTACCGAAAACGTTCGAAGCAGGAGAGACAGACAATGTAATCACTTCATGGAATTTGTGTGCGGGGAAGAGAAGACTAAGATGTGCTGCCTTCTTTTTACATGGAATCACTTCGAGCATGTTCTAATCTTGTGCAGCTCACTTTCTGCCATCTTTGATCAATGTGATCTTAATTTCGCTAATCAGGAAGCAGCATCCTGTGATGCTTGTGTGGTGCTCAGCTTGAAGATGAACTAAGGATTCTTGTTCTTAGACACAGAGAGAGAGAGAGAGTGTGTGTGTGTGTGTGGTGAGGCATGTGCATGCATGAAACCTCGGTTTGCTAAGAGAAGACTCTCCTTTTCATGTCACAAGGAGAGGTAGAACGTGCAGTCCTTCCTCGAGCTCTTATTCCACAGGCCTTGAAGTGAGTAGAAGCAGCAGTTGTTGCCCCAAACAAATGGAAGGAGACTGCCATGGCCACGTCTTCTTATGCTTTGATTGAGGTTTACTTGTGCACTCGTAAATCACATTTTTACACATTAAACTAAACCATTGTTATATTCATTCACGAAAAGCTCCTAACTAGAAATCATGGGATGAAGGATGACAGCTTCTTTGTGGCTTCCTATGGATATGATGCAGGCTTTTAGGAAGAGCAGTTCAAAAGGTGGAAGGAGGGGATGTTGCTTGTTAACATTTCTAGCGGGGGAAATAAGATCCAATCTCAAAGGAAATTTTTGAGCTATGTAGTTTTACTTAAACAGAGGTTCTTCCTCTTCATAAAAGCCTAGTCCCATATAAAATGAGGAGTGTGGACCCTAATAATGGCCATGAACTAACATGAGGCATATAAAATATAGTTCTCGATTCTGATTGATGATTAGAAGGGACCCACAAGATCTTTATGAGAGGTTAGGTTATGTCTAACTCATTGAGTTCTCTATATTCTCCTTCATTTTTGTATGGATTTGTGAAGTTTGATGGCTCCATGTGAGAACAAATAATTAGCAATAGATGATGGTTGAGTCAATACTACATAGTCTCTAATCATGCTCCATTAACTTTATACAAGAACGCCGTAGAGAAACCTAATTAGAAAGATTGCCATACCTCCATTGACATAACAAATCCTTAATCAGAAGGATTAGTGATATTGATTCATTGTGAGTCGGTTTAATGTTTAACTTAACTCATGGTGTTTTCCACTGGGAAGATTAGACAATTGCATGTAACTCTTTTGTAGTCAATAGACTTCGTCTTCTTCTTCATGCAAGTGATCCATGTTGGTTTCCGATAAGAATGGCGCATCATTCAGTTAATATAATGGAAATTATAGTCAAACATCAGGTGCTCGGTCAAACCAGAATCCAAGTGTTTGGCACATGGCATCCGGCCACAGGAGAATCAAATCATCTGGTGGCAACAGCTGCTTCAACAAATGGGGACAAGGAAAAATATGGATTCATACTCCCTTCTCATAAGACTCGTCCTAAATCCATCTAACATATGCACAGCAATGTGGGTGACCTCATCTCTTACGCTCTACTTACTTCATGTTCTCCTTTGGTCGGTAGCTAACTGCATTTAACTACCATTGGAATCCACATCCAGGAATGTCTTCTTCGTCAAAGCTCCTCTATCTAATAGAGGTTTGCATCTCCGTGGGATTTGTGCCCTTGAGGTGCATCACATGGCAGGTAAGTAATATGGCGGGGATAGAGTGTGGCACATCAGAATGCTTGCATCAATTTCTCTGTGGCCTTTTGTTATTTGATTAGCTTCATCTTCCTTGTGGATCATCTTGCTCCACGCATCAGTGGCACATGCTTAGGGCAGACTTCCTTCTACACCATGTACATGGTACCGCAAAGCAACTATTAGAGAACTCTGAAGGTGAGTTGGGTGATGCAACTCTTTGGTGATTGAGAACATGTCTTCAGATGCTTGCACGGCTTGGAGGATGGACACGTAAAGGGATTCGATTCATCTGAACATATCTGCACAAGTAACATCATTTCACGGAATGTATGTACTTGTGATACTTTGAGGTCCGTAGTAAGTTTCATAGACGAATTTGTGAGAAAGATCCTCTTTTTAGATTTTTTTTTTTCTCACAAGAGGTGTCTATTTTTTAGATTTTTCAATCGATATTGTTTCCCTATTTTTCAAAAAATAGTCATAATAATAATTCTCATTCTTTTTTTGTGAATATGTCTGTAAGTAAGATGATTTTAAAACAATGTAAGCCTATTTAAAGATACTATAACTGACATAAAATTATATTTTTATATTAAGCTGATTTTTATTAATTTATCTCAATTTTAAATAGATTCATAGTGTTTTGATGGAGATGTCAAAAATATTATGACGGATAGTGTGGATCTTATACGTGCGGGTTTGGATCGATTCATCGTATGGACTAGTATTGCTCCAACTATTTTATCAGGGGGTATTTCAAGAATTAGAATAAATAGGAAAACACGAAGAAAAAAATATATCTCCTCATAAATATTCAGAAAGAAGAACGTTTTTTCGAGAATTCGTCTAAGTTTAATTGTAGTGAACACATTGAAGCTCGAAGTGAATCAAGTTGGATATTGCATATCTTGCCTATGGAAATACTGAGATCTCTAAGATATTTTGGGGGTGTTTGGCAGACTTATTATTATTGGCAATGCAGAAAAGAATGTATTAAGCTCAACAGTGGTGCATAATTGTTTAATCCTCTAGCAAATCTTTCCTCTTGTTTTGGGCTGCGGAGTTGCACTAATTTATGTATTTGATATTAGAAAAAAAAGAAAAGATGAAAGAATCAGGTGTTTTCGATTCTCAATCATGTTCTTCTATGTTGACCTCTCTACCAAGTGGTAGAACGCATCAGCTCGCTCACATGGAGATGGTGAGGGGGATCGACCGCGTAGGCGCGGCATGTGACAAGTGCAGCGACTCAATTATTTGGTTACCTTCATCCCAAGATTAGATTCGAACATGCATGTAAAACTGCTGCTGCTGCAAGTGGACGTGATTCCCGTCATCTCTACTGCTGCCATCGGCTGGTGTTTCACTTGATCGTTAGCTTTATACAAACAAATAAAAAGCAAGATAAATTCATTATTGGTCATGGAAGAAATACAAGTCAAAAAATAAGATAAATATAAATTATAGTGTTCCATCTACCATTGGATGACAGTGGCAGAAGACCAGCTTAAAATTGCATAAAGTTAGACGTGTGAATCATCTAATCGATCATGAAACATTGCATAAAGACAATGCTACACGTCAATCCGCAGAAGTGTGATGCGTCAATATACTTTCCCAGGCGCTTAAGTTTCTCATGAATCACAGCACCCAAGATCTTAAACACAAATATCCATACTATCTCTCTAATGCTTGATTCACATTTTAAGGATGAATACGAGAGAAACAATGCTTGATTCACATTTGAAAATGAGGCTAAGTTAAAGTAACCCTTCAGAGTGAGGTATCATACGAAAGACTCCGGGAGAACAAGATGGGTGAACATGACTCTGGCAGTCCCATTTGCCTGAAGAAGAACAGAGTCAGCAAAACATTGAATTATAGTTTCTAAAAGGCATTTACTTAATTTTAAACATACAGAAAATGAGTTCTACATTATGTCCATCAACGCGAAATTAAAACAGCAAGTATTTGATTAATTTTATAAAGCAGCTATAGGTCGAATTTATCCCTCAAATACTTGGAATGAAAGCATTCGTCCCCAT